CCAACTCCTCGAACACCCCAACTCCTCGAACACCCCAACTCCTCGAACACCCCCCTACACCCCTCTAACGGCTTAGATGGCTCAAGGCATCAATTGATATCAATCTAATGCCTCTGACCGGGAGGTTCTAGGGTTCGAATCTCGATGGTGGCAGGATTTTCGACGCTAGCTTTTCAGCTATGTTGAATTCAGCCGCTGTTTGGAGACGTCTGGCGGTCAGTTGCTCTGATCATTAGTTTTGTGGTTTCTCTGATCAACACCAGGCAAATGCCGGAGCAATTCAATGGACCACGAACTGCGCGCGATCTTTCTTTCCTCTTTCTTGTTCTATCGTAACCCCCTTACTTACACACACTTGCCTTTACATGAAATACACTAACACACAAGTCGAGAGCTTTCAGCTTGTCCCGGCTGGAGTGGTGCCCCATTGGTGGGAGATACCTGGTTGGGGAAACACGAAAGTTGGAGGTTAGGTCAGTATTGGATCTCCACATCCAGCGAGTGAAGATCACAGCAACCTCACGTGATAAAAAACGTGCACCACAGTTACGAGACTAATGACCTAAGCAGTTGCGCCAGGAATCGCCAACCAATCAGTCAATCCATTCCACTGCACTCCGTTCCTCCGCCCCCCCCCTTCCAACGTCTCATCATCCCGGCTCCTCCACGCCCCGCCGGGCTCCCGCCTCGCCCTGGTCCAACCGCCCAGCCCCACACCGCTGTGCTGTGCACCGGCATGACCTCTACCTCCTGACTTTCCTGTACTCCACTCTAAATTGCAGGGTAGGATTGAATCAGATGTATTGAAAAAGCAAATTTGAGGGTAACATTTTCAATTGAAAACTCTGAATTTTCTCGGCCAACAGTATTCGTGCAAAAATGGGTTCAAATTGCTTTACGCGTTCACATGTTACGCTGGAACAAACTCGCACGTAAAATTTTATATATGAAGATGAACGTTTGGTGGGTGACAATCTTGACTGAACGTGAAAGTTCTGATTACAGGACAGCTACAAATATTAAAGATACGGATCTAGATGAGTGACATATTTTGAGTGTCGGTGACAGATGGATGTAAAGAATAATTGTTAGATTATTCTAGATACTAATGAACTTTGTTTAAGCGACTCGAATCAAACATGAAAATATTATATTGTCTTCGTCTTGCGTACAACTTTAATTTATCGAATTATTCCCAACTCAGAGAAAGTGATGTTTTGTAATCTAACAAAGTTTAAAAGTGCGATTACGATTTTACGCGTTTAAGTCGCACAGGAACGATTTTACGTTTTCTCCTTGGCAAATTCATACGTAAAGATTTTTTCAGCTGGTCACTATGACAGTTGACCAGGTCTTGTAAAGAATCGTATCGCATATGGACAGATAGAGACTCTGAGAAATCTCCACCCACCGTAATGGTTAACGTCTTCGATGCTCTTGATAAAAAGTGAAGTAAAGACGAAAGTTATAGGAATTTTTTATTGCAGACGCAGAATTGAAGTTCAAACCATTTTGTATGTTAATTTGTAAACATTTTTTACGTTTGTCAACGTATGAACTAATCGGTATAAGGATAATTAAAGACTCTCCAATTTCTTTTGCCCTTTGCCTCTTCATTTTTAAGAATTTAAAGATGCTCAAAATTACAAAATATTACGTTCGAAAGTCACCAGCACAGAACTCAAAAGAAAGTTACGGTCTTAATCTTCATATTAAAAATACCATATTCTGAAAATGTTTTACTCTCTGAAGCAGTATTCGCTTCTCGTGCCTCCTTTCCATTAGTTGTCCATGTATCTGCATAATTGAAACATGTGGAACCCGTTGTGTGGGAGAAACCACAGTGTAAGTGGGTGACAGAAAACTGTTTTCAAAATACGAAATTTGGTGTCCTCTCTGCGTGCATTTTGTAATAAGCAACCTAGTTCGGTAGTTAACTATTGTGTGGGAATTGCCAAAAGCATTACAATTGTATTATGTACGTTTTTGATGAAGAAGACTTGATGGCAAGTTACTTTTTTATTGTAATATAATGTGGTAATTGCTTTAATTTGAAATGCCTTTAAATTTCTCATTTTTTAAACTTTTTTCTTACGGTATGCATCTAGGAATATTTTACTGACGGGAGTATTCCTTTATTTTCGTCTTTATGCTTGTATTATTTTGGCTATTCCTACAATAATAGTCCGCTTCCACTTTCGGTTCATCTCAAAATGCTTACAGAATCCTTCTGTATCGCCGTCTTATAATTGGCAATCTTTTTTTTTTCTTTCTTCTGCAGAACCTATGTGAAAAACTCGTATTTTTGCTCTACGATATTTCCTGGTATCCGCTACCATTCTGCATCAGCACATCTCGTTGCCAATGCCACTGCCGATTGACTAAACGCACATTCTCGGAGCTTCGCTCGGGGACTTGACCGCTAGACAAACGTATTACGTACGTCACGAATTCACCATACGTACGGACGGTTCGGCACGGCTCTCACCAACCGATCAAATTGCAAATGGACGTAGCCCAGGAGGGCACAAGCTCAGGCGTGGGTTGTTGACGGAAAATGGTGGTGGGGGACCAGAGCATATGAGCACGTTACTAAGTCGGAACAAATTCAGCAAAATGTGTTACTTGTACTTGCGCAGGTAGACTCGTAATCTTTCGATCTGAAAAACATAGGTTTGTATTTATAGACATGAATTACAGCTAAAGCTAACATCAAAACACGAATTAAGAGAAGTGTGTGCTTGAAACTGCTGCGAAACATTGGAAAATAGAAGTTTCATCATATTAAAAATCAGAAATATCAAACCATTGGCATGTGCCTTCTGCAATCTTTCCTCCATTCCTAATTAACATCGTATGAATACAATAATCATCAAGGCTTAGGTAGTAGTTTGAAATAAGCGTTGACAATATCCGGGCATTCATTTCTACTTAAAAGTTATTAAAACGTGTAATTTTCATCGATTGAATATAAACAATCGACACTTGTAATTAGATCAGTAAATCGAAGCATGTATTTATCATTATTTCCTATTTTCTAATAAGTAAATAAATTAAATGTGCTGGTTAAAACACTTTTTAATTTCGACTCTGCTTTGATGGTACAATAGACCAACACTATGCAGAATGTTTAACCATTCAAACCAACTATTACAAACTCAGAGAGAAACAAATATTACATTTATTGAATTTAATATCCTCTCAGCAAAACCCTTCGCTCTCTCCTTATTCTTTCGTTGCAATTTCATATTAAGTAGTAGTTTTGTTAATTATGATTTAATCGATTGTATTTGAATATTCTGTTGTTCGTGTGGTTCATGTATTATACAATCTAAACTGAAGGAATTAAATTGAGCGACTGCTCTTTTCCCCAAGATTTGATCAGAAAATCAATGTTAAAATCTCATACAACAATGGATTTAAAAGAGCGATTACTGACTTCGTTTACAGTCTTATCTAGATTTTCTAAGAACGTAGTGTAATCTACAGCTCGCTTCGTTGGAATCCTGTAGATGCAAAGTAAGATATTTTTTATAGGAAGATGTACGATAGATACCTCAAATACATTTTCAACCAAATGCACA